GTTGTTGGGTTTCACAGGATCATCAGTTGGGCCCTGGGTTGTCCCCAGATGGAGTGCCCAGACTTGCCCTGGTTCTGACCCACGGAGATAGCCTCTTCCCCAGGTGTTGGGGCTAGGGGCGTCCCCGTTCCAAGCTGCGTCTGCCCCTCTCCGTCCCCGGGCCTGTCCACCCCTGTGGCCCGCCGCCACAGGCCCACCTGTGTCCGCTTGTCTCCGCTGCCGGGCCTGTATGTCCCTGTCAGCTGCCACTGGGTCTGTCTACCTCTGCGGGCGGCCAATGGGCCTGTATGTCTCTGCCGGCTGCCACTGCGGGCCTACCTACCTCTGCTTGTCACTGCTGCCGGGCCCATCCACCTCTGCGAACTGCCACCGGGCCTGTATGTCTCTGCCAGTTGCCACCGCAGGCCTGTATGTCCCTGTTGGCCGCTGCCACCGGGCCCTTCCAACTCCGCAAGTCGCCGACCTGCGTCCGCCTGTCTCCACCGCGTGGCCTGTCTACTTCTGTGGGCCGCCGCCAGGCCTGAATGTCTCTGTCGGCCGCCTCCGCCGGGCCCGTCCACCTCCGTCTGCTTATCTCCACCACAGGGCCTGTCCACATCTGTGGGCAGCCGCTGGGCCTGAATGTCTCCGCCAGCTGCCGCTGGGCCTAAATGTCCCTGTCGGCCGCTGCCGCCGGACTCTTCTACCTCTGCGGGCCGCCGCCACAGGCCTACCTGCGTCTGCTTTTCTCCGCCATCTTGAATCGTCTTCCGCGTTACATCCTTCTTCATAACTCTTGTTCATTATCTGCATGCAGTCCCTGATAATTTAACCTTCTTCTTCTCCTTCCTCCATTGTTTCCACATACTTATATTATTGGTTAGATTCTTCATATAAGTGAAAATGGGATTTCTTCTTTCTGACACTATATGATCTCTTTAATATTACACATTCTGAGTCCATCCATTTTCTTGCAGTTTTTATTACATTTTTCTCTTCAGCTGAATAATATTCTATTTCATACAGTTTTCATTATCCATTCATATATTTAGTAGATAATTAACTTGATTCCAGTACTTTTCCTAAGGTAAATTAAGCAGCAGTAAACACGGGGTATAAATAGCTCTGTAGTGGGCTGTGTTGTTCTCTGGGTACATGACCATGTGTTCAAGAGCTGGGTCATATGTAAGTTCTCTCTTCAATTTTTTCAGTAATCTCCAAACTGATTCCACAATGGCCATATTAATTTGCACCCTCCCCTCCTTCAAAAGTAAATAAGCCTTCCTTTCTCTCCCTATCCCCTTGAACAGTTGTCAGGTTAGTTGGTGATAGCCACCTAGCCTTGGGTGAGGCAGTCTTTCAAAGTAGTTTTTAATTTGCATTTCCATGATTTCATTTTTGGGATCCTGAACACTTTATTGAATGTTTATTGGACATTTATGTTTCTCTCTTCACAAAGTGTCTACTCAGTTTATTTGCCCATTTGTTAATTTGCAGTTTTCTTTTCTTGTAATTTAATTTCCTTCATTTTTTTTCTAAATTCTAGATATGAGTTCCTATCCAAAGTGTCACTAGTACAGATTTTCTCCCATTCTGTGGAGTGTCCGTGTGCTCTGCTGACAGTTTCTGTTGATACTTGGGTTACTTCCTGTGCTGGTAGTGTTCTTTCTAATCAATAAGTCCTTGCCCATCCCAATATCCTCATGGGTATTCCCTATGTTTTCCAGGTTTCTGTGTTCCTGGTTTTAAGTAAGGCTTTTGATCTATTTTGAATGGATTTTCTACAAGGTGAAAAATAAAAATCTAATTTCATTCTCCTGCTAGATCCAGTTTGGCCAGCACCATTTGTTGAAGAGGCCATGTTTTTGTAATGTATCTTTTTGTCTTCTTTGTCAAATATTAAGTAAACAGAGAGTTATGGTTTTCTTTCTCGGTCCTCTATCATCATTTTTGATATAGTTCTGTCATCCTTCTTTCTGATTTTATGATCATACTAGGCTGTATTTATAACTACAAATTGATAATATAATTCCATAAATCACACTTATATCACTTTTCTCCATTTTCCTCCTTCCCAGAATTTCCCTCCCACCCCCCAGGGCAAATATCTCACATGAACTTATGACCTTTAATTTTGAAAATATTTCCACTTTGACACATGAACAAATATATGTTGATGCCCAATATCTGTAGAGAATGGACTATATCCTTATGTACTGTTTAGTAAGGGTCCATGTGTCATGAAGGCTCCATTTGTGGGATTTGTCGCACTTCCTTGAATCATGCTCATAAAAATGCATATTGAAACACATAGATAAGTTTCCACAACATCTTTGAAATGTGTGGAATTAGACTTGTATCTTGGTTCTTAATGCTAAATAATACTTAATTCCTAATACTAAACATTTAAGCACACTGTAGAGTGCTGAACATGGCTGACACATGTGGCTTGATCATACCATGAAATTGATGTTCTTGAGTGTAGATTCAGATTGTAGTCTACTTGTATTTCTCTTTGGTGTTTCATATCACAGTAGTGATGATATGTCCATGTGTTTGTTGACACCTGATATCTGTTTCTCTCAGGAGAATTGCTGCTCACATCACTCACTTAGGATGTTCCCTGGTAACTTCCCAAAGTAGAAATATCATTATTTTTCCTTCCAAACAACATCCTCTGTGCTTTTGGACTTGGACTCATTATGTAGCATTATGTGGAATGCATCAGTAAAAATGTCTTGAGGCCATGGACAGATTGATGTGCATAAGCCATCACAATTGATGCAGAAAGAACAGTCCTCGTGCTTGCCTTCCTCTAGTCAGTTCCTGTGAGAGTCACGGCTCTACTCCCCTGTGCTGAGGCTACAGTGTTTTAAAGTAGAGATTTGAGGAATGGGCTCTGACCTGCAGGTTTCCATTTCTATGCTTGATTCATGGCTCAGACAGAAGATGTCACCACTTTGCACTTTCATGGGAATAACAGGAGAATCATAAACACTACTAACGTAAAACCTGCTAGACAATACAGTATAAGTACTGAAAAAGAACATGTCGATGACTACAAAATTCACACACAGTAGCTCAGATTTTCTCCTGAGCCATCCTTCTGTGCTCTATTATATTTGCAAAGCACTGGAAGTATCTATAATTTGCAGAATTTAATATATTCGTTCATTTACTCACAGGAAATGTATGTTGGTTTGTTAATCCCAATGTCAAGAATAAGACGATTATCCCAATTTGAGCCAAATTTGAAGCAAGCTTGATTTTTTTACTGGAGTGCACCCAGGAACTGGCCAGCAACTGCCTCCTAAGTCAGGTTAAAGAGAGCAGCACCAAATCTACCTCTTAGTCCCTTTTTAAGGAGTAAAATCGTGAGAAGTTTACAGAAGGGAAACAATGGAGTAATAAGGAAATAAAAAAATCTTTAAAAAGCATCATATGGTCACCATGTGATTAGGGAGGGGTAAGGGAGGTTTAGGGAATTCTCAGAAGTATATCAAGGTCATGGGTTGGGGAAGGTCAGGTTCCAGTAAACAGCAACTCAACTCTCACAGTAAATAAAAACTTAATTTTAAAAATACGGCACAATGGCTCCTGCCTTCAAAATGGAGTCAAGCAGGTCCCCCAACTTCTGAATGCATCCAGAGTTTCTACTGTTATGATATGGTGTGCAGGAGGCCTCAGCAGGTGAGGCCAAGGTGCCTCGGTGCCTGAGGGAGACACCTTGCAGAGGAGGACTGCAGCATGGAGTGGTGGAATGTTACTGACACTATGCAGACATGGCATCCACGTGGAAAAGTTTATTGGGGGAAGGGAGAAGGGAATGGAGGGAAGAAGAAAGAGAAGGGAGGGAGAGAGAGTGGAGGTGCACATCTCACGGGAATAGAAAGCAAGGGAGCCAGGCAGTGGTGGCACACGCCTTTAATCCCAGCACTCATGAGGCAGAGCCAGGCGGATCTCTATGAGTTCGAGGCCAGCCTGGTCTACAGAGCGAGATCCAGGACAGGTACCAAAACTACACAGAGAAACCCTGTCTCGAAAGAGAGA